CTTCACTATATATATGTTGTGATAGTGATTTTAGGGTTTAAGCCTTTTGTTGAAAACCTTAAAAGTGACCTACATTTCAATATACTTGAGAGCTTCAAATGAGCAAAGATTTATGAGGTTTTTGATGAAGATCTAAACCAGAAATCTTCACTGAATTGATCCTTATTGCTGTAGTTATCAAGGAGAAGGAGTTGTTGTAAAGGTTGCTGGTGTAAAGGCTAGTTTGAAGGTTAAGATTGAGCCTGAGGTTGCTATGGTACCAAGTGAAGGTTGAGACAGGTATATTTGAGCTATTTGTATTTACTGAGCACTTGTTTTTGAATTACACATTGCTGTAAATGAAATCCTACTCTCAGACCTATGATTTGGCTTGTTTTCTGCTTTAGCCTTGTGATTCATATCTTGCTATACAATGTTTAATCTACCTGCTACCAAGTTTATATTAATGAATCAAGGCTGTTGAAGTTAGTATTTGGATAGAACTTTGGTAATCTCCGGTTTTGACCAACCAAAACCCTAAGTTCTTAAGTGAACAGTTGTTGTCATGCATTATCTGTGATTTTAGTGATATATTCCTGTTGCACTCTTCGTGTTCATCATCTGAGCATGTTTGCAATGGTGATATAAGGCTGTTGAAGTGATCTTAGAAATTTTGGGACACAAATTTCCAAATTTACCCCTCAAACCCTAATTTCTCCATAAAGGGCTTTAGAGGTTGTAGATTGGAGTTTTGAGCTGCACAACCATTCTTATGATTTGTGTAAGCTTGAATATTGTTGTTATACATTCATTGTAATGTATTTGGTGAGTTGTGAGAGCTTGTAGGGTCCAAACAAAGGTGCTTAAGACAGGGGGAGTGCAATGTGCACTGTGTTAAGCTAGTGTGTGTGTAGATGTTGTGAAAACTAGTGTTTTAACTTGTACAAGGGTATGTGCAGAGTGTAAGACAGATAAGTGTGTAACTACTTGCATACAGCTAATGGAGCTTATTATTGGCTGAGGTCAAAAACCAAGGTTTTTCCCTATTAAGAGAGTTTCCTTGTACATCTTGTGTTATATGCCTTTCCACCCGTCAATTGACATTTGTCATCTCCCCTCTCTCATCCTCCACTGGCCATCGAGGGGGTAGTGGGGCTCCCCTTCGTGCCATCCTAGATCTGAGCTTAGCATTCTCTCATCGCAGAGTTTTGATGATCTGCATCAACTCATCATGCTTGATTTGCTCATTCTCAACCTGTTAATGGGAGCTTCCTTCTTCGATCATGATTCCCAATCGGAGCTCAGTCATAGCTTAACGTGGAAACCGATGGATCTTCCCTTTACTCCCACAGACGGCGCTAGATGAAGATGCAAGAAATCTTATCTCATATTATTGGGATGTTTTTCTCGCACTCCAAAACAATCTCTCTTTCCCTTTCCTCTTACTTCTATTTATAGTACATTGTTTTCTGACCTAATTTCTGACTATCAACTTCCAAGTGTGAAGTTGATGGGCTTTATTCTTCAATGGGTCGGCCCGTTCAGTGATCCTTTCTTGTCTTTTTAAGTTCTGTACTCGTTGGGCCTGAGGATTGTCAAAGGGTTTTTTAAGGACCGAACGGATTAGGCCGGACTCGGCCTATCTCTGGTCCAATGAGTATTACAGCCCTTTCAATTTATTTCTAAAAACATTAAAGTATTTAACAGTGGGCTTTTCATTATACTACAATTCTTATGAAGTCTTTTTAGTTCCAGGCCTAAGATAAATTATATTTAGGACATGACAAGCAATACGTACCACCTCAGCCCAAAAATGACTGGCAATGTTATTCTCATGAAGCATAGTACCGTGCCATACCTGCTATTGTCCTATTTTTCCTTTACATTACACTATTTTGTTATGGTATTATTGGTGCTGAAGATTCATGCTTAATGCCAAGATTATCATAATATGCAATAAACTCCTTAGGTTCGAATTCATCTCCACTATCGCTCCTAATTCGAGTTATTTGATATCCCTTTCCATTTTGGATCAATTGGAAAATAGACCTGAATTTACAAAAACATCAGATTTTCCTCCTAAAAAGGCAATATATGTAAATCGAGAAAAATCATCAACCATTACAAGCAAATATATTTTTCCTCCAATGCTATCAGGTGTTGTATGACCTATCAAATCCATATGTATCAATTCTAAAGGTTGAGAAGTTGTTTTATGGCTAAGTCTCTTATGCGACACTTTAGTTTATTTTCCTAATTGACATGATTCGCATATTTTATTCTTAGGCTGTTTTAATTTAGGCAAATCTCGAACAAAATCATGATTAGATAGATTAACCAAATCATCAAAATTCACATGACCAAGTCTTCTATGCCACAAAATTGTTTCATCAGTAACTGCAGAAAAACACATAAGTGAAGGATTTGAATAAACAACATAGCAATTATCAGAAGTTCTAGTTCCTTTCAAAACACGTTCACTTTTTTCATTAGTTACAAAACACCTTTATTGAGTAAAATTGACTTGAAACTTTTCATCACAGATTTGACTAATACTCAACAAATTAGTAGCTAAACCTTTAACATATAGAACATTCATTAATTCCCCAATGCATGTAAATTTTATCTTACATTTACCACTTATGCTAGAAGCATTACCATCACCGAAAGTAACAATTCCAACTAAACATTCCTTAAAAGTGGTAAACAATGTTCTATCCTCTGTCATATGCCTGAATAACCACTATTAAAGTATCAACCACGTGGACCAAGTGCTCTAAGTGTAATGTGCATGGCAAGGCATTTGAAACTATCTTTCTTTACCCAAACAACATTAGATTCATTATGCAATGATTTTCCTATTGTTTTAGGTAAAGTGTCACAAGGCTCAAGAGACTTTTCCTTTTTATCCCTTTTCTTCTTCTCAACTTTATGAGTTTAATACTTCACCTCATTAAGCAAAAACTTTGAACTCTCTAGGTTTTTCCTTTTCTTCCCAAGTTCAATTTTTCTTTTCTGACACTTATACTTGATGTGACTTTTTTCTTCACAAAAATAACATGTTGAAACAAGTTTGGGAGAACTAGTGATAACAGAAGGTTTGGTTTCAACTTTCACAAAAACTTCTTTAGATTTTTGAAAATACAAATCCTTTGAAATTAAAGCCAACTCTCTGCTACTAGTAGTGTTCTCAACCACTCCTTTTAACTTATCAAATTTGCAAATGATAGAGTCAAATTTCTGAAATTTAACAAAATCACTACACAAATTATCAACATTAAGTTCAAGTGATTTATTAAATCTTTTTACCTGATCAAGTTCCTTTTCAAGAAAATTAACCTTTTAAAGAAGATTCAAATTGGTATAGCCAAGTTCTTCCAAATTTATATTGGTGGCAGAAACTTCTAAGTTATATATATATATATATATATATATATATATATATATATATATATATATATCAAATTCTGCAAGTGTCAATTTCTCCAACAAATTTTCAAAATCCCTTTTGAACTTAGACCCATCAATATGCATACTTGTGACAGAATTCAAAATAGAAGGTAAAGCCAAAACACCAACAGAAGATGAAATTTCAGACATGATGCAAAAATCACAACAAATATGATCTACTCAGTATGTCGAGTAACGCTCTCTGATACCAATTGTGAGTTATGCGGTGCGGAAGATGTTAGTTGATTAAGTTGTAATTAACTCTCTAAATGACCTAGATGAGGTGATTAGGTCAACTTTGCCCGATTTTTGTAATTGATTAATTTACCCACAAATATGATCAATTAAACATCCACAACCACAAAACTAAATACTAAAAAGTAAAGCAAGGTTAGAGAGATGCCACCAGTATTTTAACGAGAAAACCAATTGGAAAACCTCAAGGATTTTTGCGCTATCCCAAGCGTAAACGATCCACTTTGTATGAAGCAAAATACACCGAACTTTGACTCAGGCTCACACCCCTTTACTCTATCAAGATTCAATCATCTGAACGTCCCTGGCTTTGTGACTTCCCGTCCAACAGCTCTCGACTTCAGACTTATGCCTCGAACCTTGTAAAAGGATTGCTGGTGGATCAACAACACTTCGTAAGTGCCTTGATCCCTTCAAAGTGTGACATTCTTCTTCAAATATGAATTTTATGTGAAGGTAGATATATCCTGCTTCTCGAATTTCTAAGTCTTCAATTAAGTTCCAATTTTGATGAAATAGAGAACAATACTCCTAAATCACTCTTGTGCTTATATGTGTGCTCTCAAAAACAAAATCAGAAAAATCAAGTTAGATTTTCTAAAAAATATCTCTCAATGGCTCTCTCAAAATAGTTGAATATTTGTTCCAAAAAGATGTGCTTAATTTTGAATAAAAGAAAGATTATATAGAATTTTAGATGACCTATAAACTTTTGGAAAACAAGCCAAATTCATGCATAATCAATATCGAAGAAGTCTACCCAAAGGAATCAAAACAGACCAAAAACCAAAGTTATCTAAAAGGTCTAACGGACTTGAACTAGTTCAAGTGGGACTGAACCGGTTCAAGTTGGCCAGACTTGAACATCTTGAAAAGTCTTTAAAAGTTGAACCAGTTCAAGTTTTGTTGAACCAATTCAAGTTAGGCAAAATGAAAAAATTCTCTCAAAGCTTAATTTTGAACTCCCAAGTGTCCTCACACACTCACATGAGGCGGTATTCTGATCATCATGAAGTGTATTGAAACATGAGCACAATCATTTCTTCAATTCCGCTTCCGATCTTGAGTCTTGACAAAGCGAACAAAAATCTACAACTCGAACGAACTTGTTTTGACAACGAAATTAACTAAAATACAAACTTATATTTCACAGTATTAACACAAGGCCTTCACAAATCTACATTGTGTTACTCTGAATTTACTTGTTCTTGCTACCATTTCCTCTCCTGTAATCCTTTAACTTTCATTTGATGCTAATCATGTCACCAAACAATGGTTGTCACGCATATAGCCAAAACAAGGTAAGTTAGACACAGTTTCTACAAAAATCAACTTGCCCTCCATAGCTTGCTACAATGGAGAAATACGTTAACCAGGTCACATGGCGTGAATGTTTAAGGGAGGATCAATATATTTTACATACAAGTAACGTTGAGAAACACTAGTAAAATGGATCACGAGTCCGTGAGCCTATTATTTGATGAAATATTTAGATATTGGTCAAAGCGAAGAACATCGAGACATAAGTGTGGTGATATAACAAATTTATTCAGATTACATGTAACATAAGATATTACATGGTCAGAGTATTATGTCCTCTTACAAGCACTGAAGCTGGGAACTATTCGAAGTACGCAGTCTCTAAAGCCTTCGCTTTCTCGCCTGCAACTTCAGCTTCTTGCTTCCCTAACATGGAATAACCTCTCTCCTGAAATTATATAAACTCATTCGTTAACGGTGTCCCTGCAGACTAATCTTACAAACCTCGTACTTAAATTTAGAGTGACCCACGGGCTAAGCAAAAAGACCATATCAAAGGAAGAAAAATACCATCAGGCGCCACAAGAATGGAACTCCTTCCCTCTTCTTAACCTGCTTCTCAAGGACATCGATTGCTATATATGCAAATATTACGTTTAAAAATTATTAAATAAACCACCATGAAGGTTGAATGAGAGAAAAGATGGTGATCATATCGTACCCTTCCCAGCTTGTCCGGTATTCAGAAGCATACTGTACCAAACTTCATTAAAGACATCAAGTTGTTCATCAGACGCGCCGATCATCTACCATGGAGAAACAAAATTCACATATTTTCTCCAAAATACAAATGTAGCTTCAACATAGACAGACTAGCTAATTGGTACTTGATAATAGTACCTTACAGCGGTTAGCATCAAAATCTGGACCAAGCAATTCCAATGCCTGTTTGGAGTCACCTTTCCCATACTCGTATAAGGCTTCTGCAAGCTAAGAACAGATAAAAAAATATGGAGTATATATGTATGTATAATTGCGTATATAGCACAGTTAGCACTCTCTTTTGTTTGGCATATGTATATTTCTAACAAATATATTAATATATGAAATCAAACTTGAATAAATTTAAAACAAATAACCAACAGCTTTGAAAAATATTCACACACTAGTAAAGCAATTTTTTCTCACACCAGGGTATCGTGATCCTTTATGAGTCGACTAATCCTTACGGATGTGCGTGATCACCAGGAAATCGCGTTCATCAGGTGAAGCATGGAGATTCAAACCTCCGGCAACTGGCTGGTTTATGAGCCTGTCACCTTGGCCAACTTGGCCAACCCATGTAGGTTTGAGATGTGCAAGCTTTATAGCACAACTATGTGCTCCACTTTTCATGAAAGTTCCTTTCACCTTAAAACAATAGCGATGCCAACCCTAGCCCAAAACAATCATGATTCTCTATTCAAACTTGTGAGTAAAATATATTGGTAGAGGAGGAGTTCCTCTTGAGGATCCCCGACATAAGTTCTACTAGCTTCATATTTCAGAAATAACCTACACTTCTGTCCCTTGAGCTAAAAAGGTCAGTAGAGTTGTGATTTGACTGGAATGGTCTAATACGCAGCAAATACCAAATAAAAAACATAGCAAGTACAAAACAACCAAACAAACATGATGACTATAACAAGTGAGACAAAGCAACTGGAACAAACCCGCATGCCTTTCTCCATCCGTTGTTGCTTCTTCTTCCTCATCAAAGAAAATCTACATGGACAACACACTTACAGTGAATTAAATGCCAGACTGACAAAGATGCTGCAGCGGTATGGTGCAAGATCCCCCTAACCTGGATTTCAAGCCCGTGAGTAAATCTTCAGCTTTAGCAAGTTCTCCTGTACAAGCTAACGCCCATAATATCAATGAATCCAGGTGCCACTCCAAATACCAAAAGGCCTGAAAATTGTGTGCATCAATGAAATGGAAAAACAAATTATTGTTGAGCTAAATCATAAATTCAAACTACACAGGGTGAATGCATATAAATCCTATTTTGAGAATGACACATGGGGAAAAAAAAAAAAAAGGTAAAGCGCATTACGAGAAACTTTATTACACAGGAAAAAAGAAATTCACAAAAATTTCTACAAACTGATACATACACATTTATTAAAGGTGTATGGCATGAAATGAGAAAAAAACTCGAGCACCTTTAACTATGTTCTACTTCTTTTCTTTGGTGTTGTGAAAAGTTAATGCAGACCTTGCATTCATCAGTGCTACAAATTTGTAATAATCTTTAAAATATTTCAAGAGCTAAATTTCTCCTTCATAATGCTGTAAAATCGACTTCATTTCCATTGTGCGCATATCCACTTCACATTGGCATTAGCATAAAAGCAAAGAAAAATGTAGTTGCCTGAAACAATGCAGGACACAACATTTCAGCATTCCGAGTACTGAATGGAAGTGCTTAAGGTAAAGTTTCCAAGTTAAATACAAATTTTATTTTTATTTTTTCCCTGGGCAGTTAAGTACAATTTATAAACCATATAACATTGAAGAGATAATCATCATCATCAATGGAAGCTGTCATCTCAGCTATAAAAACCCAACTATATGGCATGTTATCTGGTGATGGCCATATCACACATTATTACCGTGCCTTTGATATTCTTTCCCATTACATGTCTTTTACAGTTTTACAGTCATTGTCAAAGGAAAGAAAGGAAGTTGAAAGCTCTACTACAAGTTTTGTGATTTCACTTGATATGGTAGAGGTGCAGAGCTGCAAGCCTTTGAATGTTAAATATTATTGTTCTAGAAATGCCTTCATGCATGGAAGAGCATCATGGTTCTATGAACATGACCACATATGGCCTGTAAGAACACAGCAATTCCAATTCATTATTTTTTAATGATCAAATTTTGTCCATGGATTGCGAAAGAAAAGACAGGCTAGCCTACAACAACCTTGTTCCAACCGACTAAACCATGATCAAAAACAAAACAATAATTCTCAAAATGCAGTTTTTGATGCTTTAATAGACCTAAGTTGGTTTCCATAAGACATACTATCCCAAAATATTAATGGAATTTTTTTTGCCTAAAAAGAACATCCCCACAAAATTACAACTTCAATTACCTCAATTTTTAATAGAGTAATAGAAGTTAGCTGTTAGCCCCTCATAAGTTGTATAACAGATCTGAGTAAAATGTTATGCAAAAATGATGATTCAACTTTCTTATCCAATAACCATAAAAGAAAAGAAAAGAAAAAATTTAATCCAACTTACTTGATCTTTCACACAACCTGCTAAAATCTGCAGACGGTCCCCAAAGAAATCAATTTCACCCCGTACATACACCCGTAATAACAAACCAAGAGCATTTAAGTACACCTGAATGCATGAAAAGCTAGAACTTGTCATTACATTAAAATGAATCATAGTTAAGAGGAAAAAAAAAATGTATACCTCAGGAGGCATTGTATCACTTTTTTCTAATTCCTTCCAGATACAATGATCATAAACTTCGAGGACTTTTCTCATGGGAGAATGGCCTTCCAAATAACAAAGAGCTACATGCCACCAATTGTGTGTGTACCTGAAGGTTAAATTTGTTTAGCTATCTAAACCATCCAAAGATAACTTCTCTCAAATGACTTCAAACATACATAAAAGCGGACAAAGAACTCCATGATTGTGAGCATTCTTCCATGAACCTAACTGCTTCCTTAAAACAACACTCAGCCTGAAGGACATGACATAGCTGCACAAGAATCCGAATGCTATGAGAACCAATTGATGGGAAAAAATTCAGTGAAGCAAGCAACTGATAAACAAAAAAGTTTCATGTCATGGCAATTACCAAAAATGAGACAACATATATTATTATTTTACACTTTATTCCATACTTAAAGCATTGAACCAAGTTCATATTCGTGATCCCATTTTTCCAGAAAAATTAACTTTTTTTTTCTATGACAATGATTAGAATATATTAGGACAAACTTTGATGGGGGGCAATTAATAGCACCCAACATTAGAAACCAAAAGGATTTATGCTTTACTAAATATGCTTAGATTGGTGCATATGATATTCAACTAAGGCTTACACAAAAAACAGATTATAGTAAGCTAGACTTACAGCATGTTGTGCCCAGCAATCTTCTTTGTTAATCTCGAATCCCTTTTTCGCAGCTTTCTCTGCATCTGCCATTCGACCAAGCTCTAATAAAGGAAAGGCAAGCATGCCATATACATAATTTTCTTCCTGATTTTGTGGTAGAACCTGATGAATTCAATAAATCAAAACAATATATAACAAAAATAAGAGAACTTAACATTCTCAGCGGAACTGAAATATGTACTAGATGTAGACAACATGTACTGCTTCAACAGAACATGTTGAATTATTGGTAGAAGAAAAAGATTGTATGTATGACATTGTTGTAGACGAGGGTGCAAGTTCAACAGCAATAATTTAATAATTTCTACTCAATTGAAAGAAAAAAAAAAAACCATGGATCTCCTTTTATAGAAGGTAACCTGTTGAACAAGATGCAAAGATAGATCAGGTTGACCCATGTAAAAAGAGAGCACTTGAGCCCGCTTCAGAGATGCCAAATCTTTCGGGAACTCTTTTAATAGCTGCAAAAATATAGACAAACACACATTGAATAAGCTACTATGCAACTAATGGAGAAGGTTACACACACACACACACACAAAAAAAAAAAAAAAAAAGTGCTGCATCACTCTAATAATTTATACTATTCACAATGTGAAAACAAAAGGAAAGTATAACTTTAAACTGTTTAAAGCGGTTGCCAGGGAAACCTCTTTAAATAATGTGTACACCGTGACCTAATCAATGGTTTCAATTTTTTCGAGCATATGGTGAAATCTATAATTTCGCAATTTGACAGTCAAGTCAATATTATCACATTAGAGGAAAGTCATGAAATGCATATCATTCTAAACATGAACTTGGTCAGTTTATTCCTACAAAGCGCGTATCAGCGTATGAATCATTATGAAGGGTCACAGAGTAGATGGTAATTTGAAGCCAGAATTAGAGTCTAATTAAGATGTGATCCAACATATGTACCAAAATGACTTCATTCACATATGATACAATAGGGTTTTTAAAAGGGTTTCACTAATTTTTCCACTTAATAAAAACCGCAATCTCTAAATATGCTAGCTCAGTTAAATAAAGAGGCACAACCCAATACTAGAAACACATATTAAAGTTCAGTTTAATTATCCGAATTTATGACATCCAAATTCACCACAACATAATTAACAGTGTGACCAAATAGATTTTTAGTTTAATTATGCAAAATTATGACACCCAAATTCACCACAAGATGATTAACAGTGTAACAAAATAGATACATTTCTTGGAAGAAAAAATGAAGAATATTAAAAGGCCCACCTTGAGGTGTAAATCGAAAGCGACATCGTCATCTCTGTCGCCCGAAATCAAACAGCTGATGGCTTCGAAAACCGATTTCTCGTACAAAGTAGCTTGATCCTGTGTAAATGCCGAATTGAAGTAAAAGAAAACACAACAATTTCTTTGAAAGAGGCAGTATATAAAGTAAAATTATTGTAATTGACAAGTACAACTGAACATTTACATGGAAAGTTCAAGAAAAATGTAGAGAAAGGTAGAGAGAGAGAGAGTTACAAGTCGGGATTTGGCTGCTTGAAGATGGAAAGGAGTACGGGAGTGATCGGAGGAGGAGCAGAGGAAGTGAGCCGCCAAAGTGTTGGCCAAAACGCAGTGTGGGTCGTGAGCCAGTGCCTCCAGAATTACAGACCGCTTTCTTCCGTAACTAAGTACCTTCCATACATTGAAAATTATAATCAATTTTGAATATAACGATAAATATATATATATATATATATATATATATATATATATATTGATATAGAGAGAGAAAAACCTGGTGATAATAGGAGTTTATAGCAGAGATGCAATCATCAGAAGACGTGTTGATCTCGTATCCCCATCTGTCCATTTTCACTACACCTCCTTCCATTTCTATTTTCTTTTTCTTTTTTTTTCTCTCTCTCTCTTTCTCTCTCTTTAAATGTTGAATGTGGAATTAAAAAAACAGATGCTGGTAGTCTTTGGGTGACAAAGGATAGTGGGGAAGCATCTCGGGAACTCAAAGCTGTCGTCTTTCTGTTTCTAGATTGCATTTTGGATTTTTTTGGAAAGCTCATTTTCGTGAAAAGAAATAAATAAATAAAATTTCTATTTTTTTTTTTTTTTTGTTTTGAAAATTTTATTTTTTATTTTTTTTTTGACAATTTTTATTTATAAAAACGCTATGAAGGAGGAGTTTTATTATAATATTTTGATGAAGTATCAAATGATGTCATGCAATTAATTTGAGGGATAGGAGTCTTACGTGATCTTATTATGTGCTTGTTATTATAAACTTAAATTATTCGTATAAATTATTAATTATAAATAAACATTAATATCAAGATCTTATAACTTCAATATCTTCACATTGCTATAATGTATAAATATTATTAAATATAAATATCTCGATTAGCAAATCTTATTGGGATCAAGTCCAACGTCAAGATCCTTTAACAACGAATAAAGTTACAACTCCAAACAATAGGCAAAGCGTGGAAACTGATTTATCTCCCTTGGCCTTTAGCACATATAAAACTTTATACGTGTTGTTTCATTAGTTTACATAATTGATAGGATATATGCATTTTTATAAAGGCAGGAAGAGGACCGATTTTCCTTTTAGCAACCTTAATATCCATTTTCCATCAAAATAAGGAACAAATAAGAAAACATTTTCTAAATAATTAATTATCAAAAAAGTAATTAATAAGTTAACCAAATAATATAATATTAATCTGATTTCTATTTACTTAACCACTAATTAATAAAATATATCAGATGTCTAAATCATGTAGGCCACACAATTAATGAAATATATCAGATGTCCAAATCATGTGAGTCACACAATTAATAAATAATTTTACATTCTCCCACTTGGCCCATATGATAATTTATGCAGTGGTTTAGTAAAATAGTCATTAGTGTGCACCATAAATCAGATCGACTTATTAAGCTGATCATCATAAATACCATGGTAAATAAATTACCAATGTGAGTCATGACGCTTAAATATCACTAAATGATACAATCCCTTTTATGTACCACAACACTAATAACCTATTTAATATAATCTATAAATAAGAAGTATCGATAATAGTCTAACAATAATGTCTTTTCCAAAACTATTCATGTTATCATTATTCAAAATAATACGTACATGTACATACATAAATTAACAAGAAATATCATAGACATATTTAATGAGCACAAAATGTCAAATATATATAAATACTGTTAAGCAATCCACAATTAAAAAATAATAATCATTCGTTAACATCTCGAGTGGTAGTTCATTTGTTAATGGATTGCAATTATAAGTTGTGTGCTTATATGTTCAATAGACACTCGTTATTTCTAAACATCTTCTTTAATGATAAAGTATTTAACTTTAGAATACCTATCATTTTTTATACAAGAAGATCAATAATTGCAGCATAACTTTTCAGTAATATGAAAATGGTACTCATAACAGTCCTGAAATAAATTCTGCAACCATAAATTATAGCCACAAAGTATGCTAATAATAGATAAAGTAATAATAAATTACTTTGCATTTTTTCATAATACTATTTATCCAGCCAAAAGAAACAATGTTACATACCAAATCTTTTTAGAACTCTTTCAATATATACTTTTTGAGACAATCCTAAAAATCTATATGACCTATCATGGAATATTTCTATCCTATCACGTAGGATGCCTTATCAATATTTTTCATTTCAAAGTTTTTAGAGATAACTTTTAGTTTCATATAATAAACTAAGATCACTACTAGCAAACAAAATATCATCAATATATATAGAATCAGAAATATAAACTTACTCCCACTAACCTTATAGTATATTGTAACGACCCTGAACGGGGGTCCGAATCGCTATCCGGGTCCTTAACCAAACCTGAGGACACACTAAGGGTAATGTAACGACCCAAACCCGGAGGTCCGAATCACTAACTGGGTCTTTATTCAAACCCGAGGTCAATTAAGGATACTACCGTCCTTTCCTATGTCAATACATAATAACAATAATAATAATAATAATGGAATTGTAGTTACAAAATATGTCAAAACAGTCTACTAACTCATCAAAAAACTGTGGAGGAGCGTCGTCCGCCACTTCCCTTTCATATCTTGAAAAATATTAATAATAAAATGGGGTGAGCCAACCGCTCAATAGGTTGTGTCTAAAACACACCTCTTACGACCCCGTGAATCCATACAAGGAATAGAATACAAGTAAATGTGATCATGCCTCGGGGAAAGCAAGTAAAGCAACAATGATATCAACAAATACATACGCAAGCCGTCTAACCACCAAATATATAATGTATGCCAACGCAATGCCATGCCATGCAATGTCACTTCCCATTTTCGAAACAATATGTGATACCCCTCGGATCCGAGACACGAGTTGATCAAGCCCAAGCCCAAACCCGAGGGATATCAAATAATTAATATTTTAAATCGAACACGGAATACAAAGTGAAATACGAAATAATATAATAAGCTGAAAGAAACTATAAGAAAATCCCTGTATCATAATTAATCAAATTCGATAATCCAAAACTCCATAAGTTTACAACTCGGGAATCCATCCATTGGACCCCTTATTAAAATTCTCAAACCAAAACTGAAATCATAGAAATAAAATCCAAAGCTAACATAGAGAAGATTCCTACATAATCGGAGGAATGAATATCTGTATCTGCACTGCACGTTCAAGCTCTAACCCTGGAACTGACGAACACCGAAAAAATAAAGGAGTGGGTCAGGCCCACATGCAAGTCCTGATCTACTACAATCCAAACAGTAATCCGATACGCAGATACATCCTAGGAAGACTCAACAATATCTAGAGTAGTCCATATATGTATATAGTACACACTATAGGATGCTCGCTAGTCCAGTAGGTCTGTCTCAGCTTGAATAGAAGGCAACATGCAAATACGCACCCTAAGGTGGGCATGAGTACCTAGACCTACCAGAGAATAACACCTATGTCCAGTTATCCATCCTAGGCGATATACGCGCCCTAACCATGGTCCTGAGACTCAAGCTCATACCATGGCACATATAATAAATATATAAAGTCCATACTCCTAATACAAAATATCATCTATCTGTATAGTGGTCTGATATATGTATAACAAATCCATTCTGAAACCATAACAGGTCATTCAATTTATTTGATTGACATGACACAAGTAGGTGATGGACTTAACCTTTATGGTTAATCCATACCTTAATCCAAATTAGGTAGGACTTAGTATTTTGAACTAATCCATTCCCAATATAGGTAGGTCTTAGTGTTTTGAACTAAGTCATCCCTAATATGACACCGTCCCATACCGGTTCATATATATCTATATAAGTAGGACTTAACCTTTTTATGGTTAATCCAACTCATTCCAAATTAGGTAGGATTTAGTGCTTGAACTAATCCATACCTAGTATGTCACCGTCCCATACCGGTATATACAATCCTCTAGTTAACATAGTTGACAAAATAATATTAAATAGTCATTAACCACATTCCACAGTATGCACAAGATAAGTTAATCTATATACATAAATATTAGGCATTCAATACCAAGCCTAAAATCCAACTCCAATAATGTAAATTACTATAAGAAATGCAAGCATTCACATCCTCCAAAATATGCATTAATATAAATTCATACATATAACAATATTAGGTATTCACTACGGAACCTAAATATCATGCTCCAACAATTTAAATAGCTATAATAAGTCATAGCATTTAAATTCTACATAAAATCCATAAACTGCTATAACTTAGTATAATTGAAGTACCAATTAAGTCCAACATAAGTATAGTTAATTTTTAATTAATTCACCATACTCAACACTGTGGAAAATATAATTTTACATAATTAAATCCATACAACTTGCTAAGTTCCAGTTTTTGAAATTGATAAAGTTAAACTACACCACTAACTTCTCCAAATAGTACAATAATTAATGTAATGTTACAATAGTGTTTAACATCAGTTAATTCCATCTAAGCCACATATATTTAGACTAATATATGCTCTTAACACAGCTGAAAATATAATTCATAATTTAAGATCATGCAGAGAAACCAAGTGCTAAAACAATAGGCAATTTAAGTTAATTATTTAATTATCCACCTACGGGTCCTTTGTTTAAACTTGAATTAATTCCTATCCTCAATATCTGAATGTGAGCTTGCTTCTCAACATTTTTATAAGTCCTAAACATTTAATTACAACATTCAGTAGCTTTAAACAGTTCCAGAAAATCCAATTTCAACCAAACGAACCATAAAAACCATTTTCTGAGCCTTTTAAGAGAGAGCAAGCTCTAAAACTTTTGGAGCCTGCTCTTTTCCATCTAGAGCCTACTCTAGATTCTTTAGAGCCTGCTTTAACACACCAAGAGCCGGCTCCACCTCTTTGGGAGCCTGCTCTCCTTTCCCTTAGCAGACGTTGCCCGTTTCAACGTCTTCTTCTCCAAGTCCAGTAATTAACGGAGCCTCTGTGGTGTTGTTAAATCTTTGTTCTAGGTTCAAACTCAGTCCTAGGTACATATTAAACCACTGATATTCAATGATAGCATGCATGGAACATAGTTTTAGAAGCAACGATCACAGAACCTTAGTCTGAAATTTTTAAGCAACCCACAACAGATTAATTTGGTGAAATTAAATACTGTGTTAATCACTTATTCTAGGGTTCGTTTAATGTCTCAGACTAATCCTCAAGCATAAATATGTATATATTCACAACAAGAATTTAACACAAGATTTAAAACAATCGGCAACAAGATCTCATTTAAAACTTTTAAGCAACATTAAAACAGATTAATTCAATGGAACTAAAAACTGATTAAACATGCATATAAGATGATTCATAACATTCGTTTCATCTATTTTAATCTTTGATTAATCCTTGGAGTCTTAACTAGGCATGCACAGAACACGAATTAGCGGGAAAGAGAAGAACA